ATTGAGAATGAGTCTCCGGATGAGTTAGTTTATTGAGTCCTTTAGCCGAGTAGTTCCTTGCCTGCTAAATGCGTTGAGAACCGGAAGCGAGATCCCCGATACCCTAGCGCTTTTATCTTAATTGTTCTTCGACCTTGCTTACTATTTTCTCTGCTTTGTTTAATTATTTGCAGTAGCTGATAACTGAAAACCCATCCAACTATTTGGCTTAGAATGTTTAGGAATTTGATTTCTTTCACTTGTGTTGAATAAACGTGCTTAATAATCCGGCTAACCTTCCTTGCGATACGACCCGGTGTTGAATCTTTTGATTCTACTCCGGTAAAAATACTCACAACAACCACCTTCATCTCTTACAAGCCCTCCCGCTGACGCCATGCCCGTGGACTTAATCAATGATCCATCCGTATTTAATTTAACCCAACCCGACAGGGGAACGCTCCATGCAATCCAAAAGAGTTGTCGGCCCACTCCCAACCCACCTAATCTCTTTTCAACTGACACGGCCATATCAATACTGCTAACCATTTTGTCCACCTCCTTCACTTTTTGGGGGACGACAAAGGCACTATCGGCAAAGAGAACCGCATTACGACCACTCCAAATTTTCCAAGCTGTAACTCCAAACAAAGTTTCACAGCCCTCTACGTGCACTTGCAGCTCATTTTGTAAATTAAGCAGCAGCCATTCCTTGAGATTTAAGCTAAAAAAATAGCCATGAAATCGAGCGGAGAGTAATTCACGCCAAACTTGGTCGGCTCCGGTTCGTTTGCTCATATATTTATAATTACAGTTTATTATTATTTTTTATTAATGTTCTCTAATTTATTAAAAAAAAAAAATCTTCTACTCATTTTATTATATCATTAACCACTAATTAGGGGTGAGCATAACGGAGCTGAAACCAGTGTTCTAAAAGTCGCTAGACGCCCGCTAGGCGCTCGACCAGCGCCTAGCGCCTAGAGCGCCTAGGCGGGGCCTAAGCGGCGCCTAGTCGGGGCCTACAAATCAATATTA